AAATGCAAAACAAAAAGCTTCTGATATGAAATGAAAGTTTTCCTCAATCGTGAGATTTCATAAAGGTAATCAATCATTTGTTGTGTTATAGTAACAATGCTTGTGTGCACAATTGTGCCTAGAAACGATATCAGTCGCTATTGCCGTGCCATTGGCATCGTTGTCATGAGTTTACATGGAAGATATACGTCATAGAAATGTAGCTATCAGCTGTATGGCGACTATGATAAGCAAACCATTGGCGCCGCCATTTCTTTATCATTTTTCGTGATATCGTTTTACGTGATATTCAATGACATTTTTTCTTGTCTTTTTATCATAACAATGAACGCTGTTCTAAGATATTGTAGATATGCTTCGTGTGAAAGTTTTTCAGATAAAAATGTTGCCTAATTACTGTTTTTTACGGACTAGTCGTGCTATTATGTATGGACAGAAAAAAATAAAATAAATAGAAAACGGTTTTCAGAGATGAATTATTTCTTTTGTTTAGTAGGGTTTTTATTCTATTTACTAAAAATATTGATCCTAAAAGTGTCAGTTGATTCGATAAGGTCACGTTTTATTTACGATAGAGAGATACAGTATGACGAAAGTATGCAAGTAAAGATATTTCACGTAGAGAATAAAATGTTATATTTCTCTAAAATTTCGAAATAGATTCCTTATAAATAATTCGTATTGAAGAGAAAGAACTTTTTATAAATGTGATTTTCAGAAGGTCGACTTATATTTTTTAATTAATTATATTCTCGTACATACATTTCGCGATTTATTTACGCAATGAATTCTCTCGCGTTATCTCGAAGAATTCGATTGCAACTTGGTCATTAAGTTTAAGGATTATTATACCTCCGCGTTGCAAATCGATTTTCAATAATGGCATATAAAATTGATTCACAAGCAAAAATATATATACGACACTCCGTGCGCCTATATAAATATCATAACGCAATCGTGGGATGCGTCACGAGTACAAAGTACGAAAGGCGCACCCTGCAGCGATCAGACCAACCCTGCTTATGCACCAGTTGTTGTCATAGCCCTGTATACACATCTGCGCTACCTTCGATATGATGAGATAGAATTTCTCGATGGCGCAACAGGACAAAGATTCACCTTGCCCTCGTCGCATTCCTTCTCTCTCTCTCTCTCTCTCTCTCTCTCTCTCTCTCTCTCTCTCTTACTTATTTTCTTTCTCGCTCGCTTTCGCTCTCTCGTTTTCTCCATCTTCCCGATTTCCTCTACGAAATCGTTATTGGAGTCGTCATTGGAGTCGTTGCGACATTTAAGGAAAACGCACGCCCGCTGCACGCATCACGCACGAACGCACGCACACGAATGTACGCAACAGATGCATATATACGCACACGCGTATATATCCCTCTCGCACGCACAGCCCGTGGAAGCGATTTTTCCCTCCTCCGCTTTATCGTGGCTCTTTCCTCCGTTTTTAGACACGCTCACAAGATAAGAGGCCGCATATTTTCAGCCATTCTCGAACGGGCGGTTGCATGCGGTTTACGATAAATAGAATCGAAAATTCCACGTCTGAGAGAATTCATGCATATTTTATGTTACAGTCGTAACATATTTTCCCTCATCGTTTCGAAATGTGCTAATATTATTTCTTTCGTACCGCAATAAAGTTTTTATTACTTGATGGAAAAAGAAAAAAATTTAAAAATTTTAAATCAATTAAACAAGAAAAAGCGCCAATTACGGTCGAAGAATAATAATTTTATATGTAATTTATCTTATTTTTAATACTTTCACTTCAGATATACATGACTACGTGCTTATTATTTTTGAATTTGCGACACAACAAACTGACATAATAATAATAATAATAATAATAATCTAATCTCACAAATTAAAATTAAATTTGATCGTCAAGTTGGACGACTTTATAATTTAAAAAAAATAAATCCTATTCCTTCGCAACATCGTACAATAAATAATTTCTTTTATAATTTAATACGTTTTAATAACTGTGTATTTGTTTACGGTCTGTATATTTATTCATATTCGATACTCCGGGTTTAATGACTCGGCGATCGATTAATTAATTACGATTCGTCGGTCTCGTCTCGTCGGCTTTCTCCGCTTCCGCGTTATTCGCTTCCTTTCTCCCAAAACTTTGCGATTTTCTCACGATACTCGAGTGGAAGCGTCATGTCATCAACCCCCGCATGGTAACGTTACCCAATTCGTGTAGGGCACGCCTTACGTGTGTGCGTGCTGTGGGGTCGATGCGTGTGTTGCTGAGGGCTACGCGCCGAAATTACATACACGCACGCAGCGTTCCTCGTAGAGTTCGGTCGTGGTCGCAATTTTCGAATGTACACACGTTAGACGTATTTTTCCCCGGTCTCTTTTTTTCCTGCGTTCGTCTACCACGATATTCCCCTCGCTTCTTAACACGCGCGCGCGCGCGCGCGCTCACGCATGAACGCGTATGCGTATATTGCTGGGTACCACCATAGACCCTTCCCGTGCGGGAAGTTGACGTGGGTGTAGACTACGAAATAGTTTCCATCGCACCGTGTGTAAATACGCACGCACACGCGTGCATGATCGTCTGCTTATACGCGCGTACAAGCGCGTGATATGTCCCGCAGGATATTGGCCTAGGAGCCGCGTGATTGGCCGATAGTGCGAGCATAGGCGAATAAGTGCGTGTGCTGTGCGTATACGTGCGTGTAGCGATGCGATGCGCGCCGAAACACGCCTCACTATCACATATGCTTACACGCACAATGGCGTAAGTTTTACATATTTTCCTTGGCGTGCTTGGTCGCTCCGCGCCGCACGTTTCCATGAATAACATTGCGACATCAAATTAATCGGATTCGGTAACAAGCTGAAAATAGAATTGCTTTAATTATAATGTCGGCATTAATTTTAGCTTTATTCGTTTGTTAGTTTTATCAATTTATAACTGTGTGATTTTTTAAATTACGCTAATCTTATTGAGAATCATTCCGTTTCTCATCGTTAATTTAATTTAAAAAATGTTATTACAACGGTTAGTTTACGTAACGATTGATTGTCCATAATTACAATATCTATTGTTTTAATACGTTAAGATAATCAAAATTGCAGACATATTTATGATTCTTATTTTTTATAAAGAACTTTAATATCGAGAAGGTATGAGGGAAAAACAATTTTGCTAAAATATTAAAAAATTTAACTAGGTACAGATGTAAAAATAATTTTGTTTGGATCGTCAAAATAATTATGTAGAAATAATTATGCTTAAGCATTGCTGCAAAACATTTTAATATTCTAACAATCAATTTGAGCATCCTGCATAATTATTTTTCCAAATCAAATTTATTCAAGCCAAATTATTTTCAGGTATATTTTTAGCTATTTATTATTTTTAAATACGTCAGAAAAACAAGTTTTTCTTCTATGTAGTTTTTGGATTAAAAAAAATATAAATAAAAATATTGTCAACTTCTATCCAGACTTGTTTTAAAACGATTTTGTATGATATATGTAGTATGTTACAAGAAATATTTTGCTGAAATATTAAAAAATTTAACTAGATACAGATCTGAAAACAACTTTTTTGGACCATCAATATAATTATATATTGCTTAAATTAGTTATTACAATGTCAAAACTTTTAGTAACATTGCTCATCATGCTTAAATTTCCTACGTATAATTATTCTTATAGCTCAACGAAATTATTTTCAATTTATTTTAAATTTTTAGCTAAATTTTTAGATATTGCAGAAAAATCGTTCTTTTTGTATAATTGTGTTAATTAAAATGTGGATATCCACAAAATACGATTATCATGTTAAAAGTTTTGAGATATAACGTATAGCAGCAGTTTCCTAAATATAACATCGGTACAACCATCCCTCTTTATAGTTCGTACGTGAAAATGTCATAGTATAGAACTGCATACACCCACGCTTTCTCTGTCTTCCTTTCTCTCAGCACATCTGAGTTGTTCCAAAAGTTTTTAAAAGCGCGTCCGAATTTCCCCTCGACTTTTTCTGATCATAAACTTTAAATCCTTAAAGTCTAATACAAGTGCGATTAAGAAGACGTTAAGAATTCGCATAAAACTGAAATTTATTTCAAAACTTTCGCATACAAGTACGCCCTACAGTACGTTGATGATACCACTCCCTATTTTCGTCATACGCTTCCGGTGCGGCTCTTGAGCTGCCTGAATTAATTTATCTTCTTGCGAGAAGAGTTACGTTAAACTTGTTAGAACGGGGGCCATGGTCGTGGCCTTAGCGAAGGTTACGCCATTGGTGCCCCAACTGACGCACACGAAGAAGGAGAAAACTCACAGACGTGATGAACTCACTTCACCACCCCTATGACTGTCGCCGCGTGACGGGCTAGGCCGAGTTCTACGGCCAATGGCATGGTGCAAGCGTCAGTGGTCGTCGAGCAGGCAGGAAGAGAGGTTTTCTGATTCCCGGACGGGCCTCTTCTGTGTTGGAGAACGTGGAGCTTATATTTGCGGGCGCGCATGGTTCTCCACGTTTGTGCAATTAACAACGGGGGGCGGAGTGAAGTGAAATAAGGGTGCGTGAAGTAAGAAGTGCGTGTACGATTGAGTGTGTGTGTGTGTGTGTGTGTGTGTGTGTGTGTCTTTTTTTTCTTTTTTTTTTCTTGCGTCTTCCGGATACGGCATGTCCAGCGCACGAGGCGTGCACGCGTTATATACATAGGTAGATAGGAGCGCAGGAGAGGAAGGGAGAGTGAAGAAGAGAGGAGGTAGCCGGGGTCCTCAGCGCGTCCGAAGTGCACACATTTTGTGCTACACTAGACGCTAGACGAGATTAATAAGAAAAAAGGGGGAAGGGAAAGGAAGATCGTATGGGATATATTGATAATGACCATAAGTTCCTTGGCATCGTTCCTTGATGATTCGCGTCTTGTATCCGAGATCATCCAGAGACTCATGATATAAGAGAGGAACATTAGTCTCCAGCCTGTATCTCTCTGGCTGCGCTTGCTTTTATTAGATCGCCGTCCAACGTTTCGTCGTCGCGAGAGAAGCGTCTACCAAAATCACTATAAGTAAGTTCAACGCACTTTTTCCTCTTCCGCTTTCAACGATCCACGGCAAGGTGAAACTAATCCGCATTCGCTTTTTGCTTATTAAGTGCAAAGTGTGTTGAGAGCATTTAAACGGTTTTTCCGTAATTTAAAACATATATATAATAAAAAATTGCATATAAAAAAAACACATAAAAATTTTTGAGAGGTTTAAAAGAATTACAAGAATAATCGGCAATTGAAAATTTTTTTCTTTATTATTTCTTTATCATTAACAATAAGCTTACCTTCGCTTATTTCTCTAACATCTCTGCGCTGCACTTATACTTATCACTACGAAAAGTTTTTTTTTCTACTTAAAGTTATTGGATCATTGTGGATCATCCGACTTTTGTTTTTAAATCCGACGTTTGTAGTTGATGTTTTTCTTTTATCTCTTTTCGCCTCGCGAAAAATTTATTTTTGCAAGTTTAGCGAATAGAATCGGTCGAGAGTAATTTGCATTTGTCGACCAGATTAAAAACGTCAAAGTAGTTCGCTGGCATCATTAACCATAGTCTTACGGTTCCACGTATGCAACATTTCCCAGTTTCACGAGATTTCCTTATCTCTTTCTTATCATCTGCTTGTTCCTAATTCCTACTGGGTCGACTAATAAGTCGGTGAGACGTGTGACTCACCCTACGCGAGAAATGCAAATATCGACTAACTTCCCCTCGCGAGAAGCAATTTCACCCCAGTCACGAAATATCGATCGTTTTATTTTCTTTTATTATCTCAATTATATTCGCAATTATATATATTTGGGAAGGGAAAAATAAAAGCAGAAAAGTGACAGATCTGATAAATTTAGAATATTGAAGCTATGAGATATGTAGAAATTGCATATTTATGTATATTCAACATTAAAATGTCAAAAATGAATTCTGCAGCAATAAGATGAGAGATGAACAGTAAATGTATGAATAGCAAAAATAAAGTCAACAAAAAATAACAAAGAGAAACGGTTTTTTCATTTATGTCAAATCTGTCGGTTGAAGTGGAATAAATTGTGAAAGTTTTAAAAATCTTTAACAAAAGAGTTGCTTTTATTAATTTTAAAGAAAAGTACGAAAATATTTATAACTCTTTGGCAGTAAAATTGACAGAGGATACAAGTCTGCATACTTTATAGCCTGATACTTTAGTTCTTTTAACTGAAAGAAAGGGTTAAGAGAAAGTAATGATCAGGTAGATTCACTGAAAAATCTTTTTTTATGCTCATTTTGCCTCGAGAGTTTTATGATAGCTTTTTGCTATGTCGACGGCAAGGGTAAAAAAATCTCCATGTGCATCTGCAGACAATGATTCAAGCAAATATCACCGTTCAGTTCATGCTCGTATATATACCTATAACGTAAACGAAAATAACGAAATTTCGCAAGAATTGACACGCAATTCTTAGGATGCATTTGTGAATCGCAATACAATTTCATCCGCAATATTCAATTTTATATCCGTTTTTATCGACGTCAGACTGTCGTCGAGAGTTTAATATAATGCTACAGTACATATTAATATTATAGTATTATTATAATATTAATACTATTTTGGTAATATGATTCTAAAGCGAAACAAGAAACTTTTATGGTATATATTTTATACAACATTAAAATATAATTATTGGAAAAATTTCTATATATAGCGTTACTAAAATTTAAATACAAAACTTTTGAATAAGATAGAACGCTTTTTGATACATAATGTAAATATTTTGCGACGTCTGTCTCGACATCATCTTATCATATTCTTATCATTGTGGTCATTTTTTTAGTTTGTATAGTGTTACTGTATTTGTGCTCGGATGTTTCTTTTTCTAATCGTATTCGGACCTTAAGATATGTAATCTTTGCTAGTTTCGAAAACAATCTCGAGACTGACATGACAATGAGTTTTTGGATTTTCAACTAAAGATTAACAAGGAATGGCATAAAAGAAAAAAATGGGAGTACTTTATCTCTTTATCACAGACATTTAACGGTCAACTTTGTATGTCGTAATCATATAGATCGTGATCGTCTTGAAATGTAGACTTATTTCAATGTGGCGAAATCATCTATTATAAGTATTTCTACAAATTAATTATTTTATAAATTTTTTCGAATATGAATTATGTTAAAGACAAAAGAAAGGTTCGTAAATTTTTTAATAGTTAGCTTAACAAAATTACAAGATGTAGAAATTTTATGATAGTATCGTAAATTTCTCGGTAAGTGCGAGCTCAATTTTTTCTTTTTGTAAAAATAGTAAATTTTTTACACAATTTCCTTATTTTCGATATTATTTCTATCTGCAATAAGATCGATATCGAAATTTCAGTTTCAATCTTATTTGAAATATTATTGATAATACTTCCTGTTGACATCGATAGGAATGGAACTTTTGTTGATTTAGTTTTTAATGGCGAAAAAAAAGAACGTTGTACATTGCAAATGACAAACTATATAATAATGTATGCATTAGAATGCAATTATAACCTTTGATCCCTCGCACAGGTTCTTATCGGTAGATAAATTCAATAGCTTTAGTTTCGAGAGTTTTTTGGATATTTTTCAAATGAACCATGCGTCATCAGCAGGAAACTCTGGCGTTAGGGCGGGGGGATTGCATATGAACATTTCAATCTCGTCGCTCGACCGAGTCAGTCGAGTTGCAGTCTAGCATTACTTTGAATAGTGAATAGTGAATGTGTTTGCCATAGATTGCTCGCTGAAGACAGAGAAACACCCCCTTGGACATCATGTCTGCTTCGCAACAGTACTGCCTCCGATGGAACAATCATCGCTCAAACCTGTTGAACGTCTTCGAGGAGTTGCTGCACAACGCGGCATTCACCGATGTCACCCTTGCTGTCGATGACGGTAGGACGGTCAAGTGTCACAAGATCGTGCTGGCTGCATGCTCGACGTATTTCCAGACTTTGTTTCACCAACTGCCAGGCTATAATTACCATCCAATAATCGTCCTTAAAGACGTTGGATTTCCGGAGATAAAGGCGATATTGGAATACATGTATCGTGGCGAGGTGAACGTGGCGCATGAACAGTTATCCGATCTGCTGAAGATCGCGCAAGTACTGAAGGTAAAAGGTCTGGTTGAGGAACACGGTAGCAATACACCAAATACGCACGATCTTCGCCCTGAGGAAACGTCGGTATCGCCGCCACCCGATATCAGTACCAGCACTAGCACCGGTGGTGGTGGCGCCAGCCACTCGTCACCGCCGTCTTACTATTCCCTTTACGGGAACTCGGTCTCGCACGATCGCGGTTCGAGTCACCTGGCAAGCTCATTACCAAGTACGTGGCCGTTGTTACATTCCACGGGTCATCAGCTTCCAACGTCGCTCTCCTCCGTTCTTGGTGGCAGTGGCGGATCCTACGACAACGGTATCGAAACCTCGCCGTTCAAACGCCGGAAGCTGCCGCAACCTCCGTCAGGCCTGCTGATAAATAACGACACGCCGATATTACGCACGGTACTTGGCCAGGCTCACGTTGACAGTTCGCAGGCTCTGCCGTTGTTGCAACCAGATAGCCATGAACCAGTCAACTACCGCAACGCAAACAGCAATGGATCCACGAACGACAGCGACAACCGCCGCAACAACGACCTGATTCACGGTGAAACGACGGTCCATGCAGATGCCTCCTATGCAGACGAAGATGAAAGACAATCGTCCCCGCAGTCTTATCCAGATACTGCAAGGAATTCAGGTAGCAATAGCAACTCAAATATTGCAGGAGTTTCATATTATGCAAGCACAAATTATTTAAAGTTGTCTGCTTTATATTATCTACAACGTGTAAACGAATTGACGAATTTATTATCCCCTGCGTCATATGAACAAAACTCACATGGAACTACTGATAATACACAAGGAATCACAACCCAAAGGAATTTAATCCTCCGCGAATCAGGTGAGGTGTGACATACCCTAGCAAGATGAATTTCTATAACTTTTTAAAATTTATTTACTAAAATTTATTTACTTTTTAAAACGCACGCATGTTGCCGGTTTTGTGCAATTGGAAAGTGCGTTGTTACCAATCATACTAAATTATAATATTAAATATTTATCAATGTAGTATGAGATATTCATACATGATCCATGTTGATTTTCCATCTGGTTTGCGAAGGTTTAATAATCACACGTAAATGAAAAACTACTTCCTTAGTAAAATAATAAAATAATATTATTATAATAGATTATATTATTACAATGTGCATATTTTTACTACAAAATTTGCCGCAACGGAAGAGATCGTGACTTGGAGCGAGAACAAGCTATTCTCTGTTATAAAAATTTGATCTATATTTATATTCGATTATACTTTTATATATAGAAAATATAATATAAAATATAATATAAAAAAATACAAAAAAAAGACTAAAAGGATATATATATATATTAGTTTTTTATATTATATTTCAATATTCTATAGATAATATTATATTGTTGCTTTTATAATTTTTTAAATAAATAGATATTATAACAATATTAATTTTAAATCATTAAGTATAATAACGAAAATATGCACAGTAAATCAAATTAATATAACGATCAATAATCGAGCAATTTTTGGATTTACAATTAATAAAAGGTTTTCATATTTAATGAAATATAAATAATAAAAATGAATATATACATTTCTGCTCACAGAACCTTCTTCAATTATTCTTTGAATAATATAAATTTTAAATCTTTGTTGCATAAATAGCAGAATAATTATATGAACTCTAATATCATGGAATGATATTAGAGTTCGTATAATTATTCTGCTATTTGTATTCGTTCTCTTTCAGATTATAAGGAAATTTCTTCATATCTCGATCATGTTCAGTAGTGAAATTTCATATATCAATTTCTAAATTTTTTTATATGACTAACTCTCTTTGTTTAACGGCGAGATTCTCATTAAGTTATTAATTTAATACGGTAAAAAATGTGAATATATAGATAACTCGGCTCTGTGAGTCGAAACGTATTTATTCATTCGTATCACTTATGTCTTATTAAATATAGAAACTATTACATTATTGCAAATGAAAAAATTGCTCGATTATTGATCGTTATATTAATATTATTTGATTAATTCATCGCAGCTGCTGCGGACTGCATTCAGCCGAAACCCGAATGGAAACGTTATAAGCAATATACTCGAGATGACATCAGCGCGGCGATCGAGGCAGTGAGAAAAGGTATGAGCGCCGTTCAGGCAGCGCGAAAATACGGTGTGCCATCGCGTACGCTTTACGACAAAGTGAAAAAGCTGGGTATCCCTACATCGCGACCATTCAAGCGTTCAGCAAGCAACGGAGGAAGCGGGGCTTGTTTCCCGTATGGCATCGGCGCCAACGTGAACGGCGCTCTTTATGACAACAGCGCCAGCAATGCCAATGCTCTCTCCGAAAATGAGAACGAGAGTAGCAATGTCAACGTCACTGAGAGTTTGGCCGGCACGAGTGCCGCAATTTTTGAAGCCGCATATGCAAAGACGAAGGATTCATCGCGGGACTCAATATCAGACTCGATGGCCCGTTGTAGCTCGAGTCCGGTGATACGTTGCGCTAAGCAAAGACAGCAACAGCAACAGCAGGACCTGGACGATCAAGTAGAGGATTTATCGGTGAGTCGCAAATCCGACGTGATTCCAGTGATAGTACCGCCGTCCACTACATCGACCGCGATTAAAGACGAGGTGCAAGAAACAGGATTGGATAGTAACGACTGTTGCGATTATAGTTAACTTTTACAGCCCAGTGATGGATAATGAGATACGAGTAGATCAGATTGCAGCAAGCTCAATTTCGTAAAACAAAATTAAATTTGTGCTCGTTTTAAATATTCTGTCTTTCATCTTTTACGTTTTTTTTTTTTTTCATACTAAACTTTCATATTAAACTTCGTAAAGTTATAATGTCCGATGAGAAAGTTTCATCGATTAGGCATCTTAAAATAGTCGTTTTCGTATCATTTCCCCAATTTTTCTAATTTCTATTTCTCTAACAAATTACATTTTATTAAATCTATTTTGACCTTGAGCTCTTTATCACTCCATCATATCGTGTATTGCTTTGTTATAATTGCAACAGAATTTCCTTCACCGAGTGTGCATTTTCATTCCGAATAATCGAAAATAGATTTTGCAGAGTATCCATCAAATTTGATCAGTAGAACGTAACAGAACAAATGCAGAATGTGAATATGATGACTGATTGACCGCAGAAACCGAGCAATATCTTTCTGTAATCATATAAATGACATATTCTATTTTTATGAATTTAATGAAATGACAAATTCTGCTCGATTTCTACTGGCAATCAAATCATGTCGGCAAGCAAAACGAAATTAACGCGGATGTAATTGACATCAATTTGCTGCAATATTCTTCTCGAATGTGTAGGTGAACAGCTAGCGCAACATTTTGCCGAGGCGTTTTATATCTGTAATTCTTTAGATATACATTTTGGATATACGGTAGACGAACGTAAATGTATTTATTCCTGTTTAAACTTATACGAAAATAAGATCTAAATAATCATCATGATTATCTTAAAAGATTAAATTACTAAAATAATGATAAAGCTGTTAATTATTGCAAATTTATTGATTCGTTGTTCGTGATTCGCGATTTGCGTATAGTTTAGAACTAGCCTGTATTCATTCAAAATACTTTAAAATTTAACGCGAATTACGGTTTAATAAAAACATTGAATTGCACAAAAGAACGTGTCGCCAGCTAATTATCATTTTCAACGCGAACAATGACGATAAGAAAGAATGCATATGAAAAGATATGAAATTTAAAAAAAAATACGGATACAAATATTTTGAAACTTTACTCAAAAATATTTCTAAGGTTAGATAAGACGAGTACGTCTGTAATGGTATTATACCGCGCAACATTTAGAGATACCTTTCTTGTCTTGCGACATATTCATTTGTGCGGATATTTGTCTACCGTAATAGCATTAAAGCTTTAACAAATTGACAGCGAAATAATACAAGATTCATAAATGGAATCTCTACTATTACGCTACGTATAAAGTGTCCTTTTCTCCCCTCATTATTGTGTCAATGTAAATGAAATAAAAATGATGGGAGATATTCTATAATAATAACGTGCCAGTAATAAATAATAAGCAAGCAACACTTTCCGGATGATAGGTTTACTCGCATATGTGCTGATTTATCATTTCATTACAAACTTTGTATTATTTAATAAATATCGCTGTTAATTTGTTAGCATTGTAAGTACTTCGTCGTTGTATTTGATCGTTACTGACCACAGCTCCGGGATACGATTGCAATATTGCTCAAACATATCGGCAGTAATGATAATAACGAAATACCTCATGTAAACAACGTGTTCATTAATGTAAGACTGATAAAACGCAGACTTGAAATATCACCGATTGAAATACTCAAACTTAATTGAGGCAAAGTATCGAGAAAGTTTCAATTTGCAATTAAATAAAGATACAAGTTTTCTGTATTATATCTGCAATACGGAAAATATTGAAGAATGCAAAAATTTATGTTTACTTTTACAGTGATCTTCGAAACACGAAATATAAATACTCAAATTATTAATTTACAATTGTTTAACATTTTGCGTACATGACAACATAACATATATTTGTATTTTTAAAACACCCTAACTTTGTATTAGTTTCGACTTTTTTTTCAATTTCGTGGTGATTTAATTTATTTACTCTTATCTGGAAAACATATATTTATATATAGGATAAAAGATGGATAAACAAATTATATTTAATTAAAAACGCATTGTAAAATATACCATTGCATTCAAATGTGCTAAGTGCGCATAAAAAAATAGATCAGAAAGGAAAAAAATAGATAAGATCAATGCTTAATCATTTTTCGTCGATTCTTTGCCTCTCTACAGACCAAAGTTACCTCGAGGATTTCTACCTCAATATATAAGTCATTCCATATTTATTGCAATAAAATTTTTGTAGAGAAGATATTTACAGAATGTATGTGAAATAATGCAAGATAATGCAGTACCTGCCCGCCATGTGATCAAATGCATCTTTTAGAAAATAAATTCAAACAATGCAAAGATCTCTGAAGTTAAATTAACATCGTTAATGTATTACGTAAGGCAATTTGAAGCCCTACTATATATTTTAATTAAATCAATGTTTTATTTAAGAGTGCGTATATTACTTTATTTTAGTCATTGTTATCGCGCTATGCATTATTATTTTTTATACCACAGAGTGCACTGTAAGTACAATAGTACAACTAGCAAGTAAGACACGTTATTGTTAGGCTTTAATAAATTTTACTTCAATCGAGAGTGTAACGTGCACTAATTAGATATTCGTCGAGCGATGTAAGAAATATACGCAAGATATCCTATTTTGATGAATTTTTCACGTAAAAGAATTTTCATTAATCGCAAACAACCTTTCTTTTCCTTTTCCTTTTTATCCCGATACGTTTGATTTCTTTCTTCGGCTTATTTAACATATGTTTGTACATTGTACTCTTTTTTCCAAAATCTATTTGCAAATCAAACTAGGATAACTTGCAGATGAGGAAGGTGTAGGATAATTAATTAAGGAAATATACACGTATCCATTCGTATGTACGGATACGAGTACGTTGTTTTAAAAAGCCGATTAGTTTATCATTTTATCAGAGTATATCGTGCAGCGTTGATGCGAAAGCACATTTTATATAATCGATATATCTATTTTAATCCACGTGTGTGTGTCTGCAGAGCGCACTTCAAAGTACCAACGCGCCTGTAAGCGCGTCTTTTAAATACGATACATACATCGTGAGGTTTTTTTCCCTTAGTACGTGCCTTCATTCGTTGATTAATCTTTACGATGTGAACGCGGCGCATTAATTATTAGTGTTGATTTTATACCGTTTATCAACCATTGCTATGTTGCGTAAAATAGAGTCCATTATTAGTATGTGAAACTCCATTATCTCACTCGTGACATTTTAATCTTTCTCCTTGTTCGTTTATTCATACAATTTGTAAATAGTCATAGGCGGACAATGACACTTTTAACAATTAGCGGTGTAAGACTGATTGTAAGACTGATTTTTTTTTTTTTTACTACGTTGACTTACACGCACACGCAGAATGCGCGTCCACGTATATATGTATATGACGCGCGTATAAATAAATAAATAAATATATGTATATCTAAAAATGTACAAGTATATAGATTTATTTGTGCATATATTATAATATATATATATATATTATACGAAAAATGACAGCGAAAT